CCCCGAAGCCCCCCAGCAGACATAAACTCCGCCCCCCCAACAGACATTAATTTTTTTTGGTAATTTCCAGTGAAAATAAGGCTCATGGGCGTAATTATTTGCACCCATAGCATTAAAAACAAAGGTGTAAAAGCCACTTTTTATGTGGTCCCATTCCTGCCTTGAGGATGGCATTCTTCTCTGTGTCCTCCTTTGGATGAAATTAGCCATAACCTTCACCCGCTTGCCTTCTTCTCATGGTCCATCCTGGTGCCATCTTTTCCCCAGGTAAGTGACGTACACTCACCCGGCCATCCACATGATGTAAAAGGAAATGTGATTTATCAGAACAGGCCACCTTCTTCTATTGTTCCATTATGATGATCACATGTCCAATGTAGGCACTTTTGGCGGTGGACACGAGTCAGCATGGGCACCCTGACCAGTCTGTGACCACACAGCCCCATATGCAGCAAACTGCGATGCACTGTGTGTTCAGACACTTTTCTGACAGAACCAGTATTAACTTTTTTAGCAATTGAACTACAGTAGCTCTTCTATTGGAACGGACTATGGGACCAGGTCTGCCTTCACTTCCCACTTGCAATCAATGAGCCTTGGTGCCAATTACCCTGTCGCAGGTTCAACAGTTTTTCTTCCTTGGACTGCTTTAGGTAGAACCCAACCACTGCAGATCTGGAACATCCTACAAGAGCTGCAGTTTTTGAGCTGCTTCGCCCAGCCGCCTAGCCATCACAATTTGACAAAGTTGTTCAAATCCTTACGCTTGCCATTTTTGTCTGTTTCCAACATCAACTTCAGGGAAAAAACGTTCACTTGCTGCATAACATATCCTACCTACTTCCAGGTGCCATTGTGATGAAGTAATCAATATTAGTCACCTCACCTCTCAGAGGTCACAATGTTATGACTGGTTGGTGTATATTCCAGCAATTTGTTCTCAAATACTTCCATTGCCTCATATTGGTGGTTATGAACACTTGCACATTGCTGCAGGCTGCAAACACCGACTGCCACAGCCATGTCCTAACTACCTCATACTTTTTTTTCTTGGTGATTTGACTTCAATGCCTTTAATGCAATATGTGTCTCATTTTTCAGTTTTTTCATTATTTATCTCACATTCATTCATTTGTCTTAAATTAATTGACTCTTTTTTTAAATCACGTGATATTCCACTGAAATATCACTCCACGTTCACTCCCTTGATGGACTTTAATTTTGCTTGGAGCGGTGAGTACTTTACAACACAGAGGGACCATGGTGAACAAAAGTAGCCACCCTCCAGAAGGAAGGACAGTGTCAGCACCAATTCAGAGATGATTTGAAGATCTACAGTGATACACAAATAAGATACATTTTTCTTAATAGTTAAGTTACTTGAAAGCATTTTTAAGATTTAACTTCTGAGTTTAGTGTCACTTTAATGCATTTCAAATGTTGTTTTCATTCTTTTGAAATAAGACACTTTCATGAAAATATAACTTGTGATCTTTCCATGAAAGTCCTTGTTCTGGCACATTCTGTTTTGGGGTGACAATTGTCTACCAACTGTGCTCCTGCATAGTCAGTCTGTCACATGTGCCCCTGATGGAGACTACACATTGCACAGGCATGGTTTGCCGTTATCAGTGAACTGGTCCAAAATAGTAAAGATAAAAAAGTTAAAATAGTATTTAATGAAAGAACAAACACACCTGGAAATAGTTTATTATATACAGTGTTTCAGCAACCTAAATCTCGGCCAGTTAGGGTTTAGGTCTGCTTTCACTCAT